GCCAGACTGGAGAGCGGTCGGCGAGGCTCTGGCTGCTTGGGTGGTAAGGGGGACCCCGCCGCGGAGTCCTCTTCGAGCCGCCTAACTTCTTTCAGCAGTCTGTGATGGTAATTACAGTAATCGAAGCTGCCAGGGGAGCTTTACAGCCATGCTCCGGCATAGAAGAAGGGGGGGTGTGTGGAAAAAAGCCCCCACCCTTTCCAGCTCGGACGCCCCGTCGAGGAACGGGCCCAGCCTGTTTTCTGCGTGGAGTCAGGCCTTTCCCCCACCCACCCCGCGCTTGACGGTACTGGGCTGACCCTGCCTGAAGGGAACCGAGCTTCCTTCACCCCCCACCCCCCAATTCTTTTTTTAAAAAATTAGATTTATATGCCGCCCTTCTCCGGAGACTCAGGGCGGCTTACAATGCGCTAAGCAATAGCCTTCATTCTTTTGTATATTTATACAAAGTCAGCTTATTGCCCCCACAAACTGGGTCCTCAATTTACCTACCTTAGAAAGGATGGAAGGCTGAGTCAACCTTGAGCCTTGGCGAGATTCGAACATGCAATAATTGCAGACAGCTGAATGTTAATAACAGGCTTTTAGTCTGTTGAGCTATCCAGGCTCCTCTGGATTTTGATCTTTCTTTACTTTCCCCAGCTTGGTCTCCCGTTGCTGAAACCGAAGGGCCCGTCTCCCCATCCCAAAAGAGAAGCAGAGGACGGAGACCCGGGATAGAAACGGGCTAAGATTTATAGACGGGGAGGGGAAAGTGCCCGGGTTTAAGGCAGAAATCCGTGTGCTGTCCCTCCTGGAGGGGGGGGGTTGGAAGGGTAGCAAGGCCGGCTGGATGTCCTTCCCCCACTCCCCCCAGCAAGGATCTCGCATTTATCCCGACGTTCAGAGAGGAGGCGGGAAAGGGCATCCTGAAAAAGCCACCTGGGAAGTCGGAGAAGCTGAGCCGGCTGCGCTCCTGCGCCTGGTGTTTAAATCAACGGGCTCATTCAGGAGAGACTGCGGGCATCGGAGACCCCACCGCCTGCGGCGATAACCTCCGGGCGCTCGAAGGAGGCGGGGGGGGGGTTGAGGCAGAGCAGCACCCAATTAGTCGGAGTGGAGAAGCGCGGAGCGATAGACGGGAAGCAGCGCCGGAGGAGTTTGGAAGAATCCCAGCGGGCGTCAATGCAATCAGGGCAACGACGCCTGTTTAATACAAACAGAATTAATACCGGTTAATTAAAATATATTAGGGTAGGCTGTGCAGAGTGTCCCCGAAATTAAAGGTAAAACTGCCACTGATTTGTCAATCGAAAACAACGTCCGTGTTGGAGGGTTCGGTCTGTTTCCCAGAGGGGTTTTCTACGATTGTTGCTCTTCTTCGCAGAGAGTCACTTTCGCTCCGGCCTCCTGGGATGGGATGGGGTGTCTCTTGGTTCTTCGGAAAAAAGAGGCTCCAGAGAACCTATTCCTCCAAGGGCTTCGGTCTCTTTCTGCCGGGGGGCCCTGGGGAGCCAGCGCCCGCCGCCCTAGGCTTGTTGAGAACTTCCTTCGGAGGCGATCTTTGAGCAAGGAGGCTGCCGCAAATTGTCCCGGGATTCAAACTGCAAGCAGCCTTCCGCTTCGAACAAGCCTGCGTTGGAGTGAGCGTCTCTGCAAAGGATGGAATTTGCTTCAGAGGAGACCCGTTCTGTGAGGTTTTGCGAGAAACTGGGCCTGCTCCGCTGAAGGTGGTTTGCAAGCCAAAATTAAACAACTCCATCTATTTGGTTAGCTAGGAATTTAATTAATCCAGTTCCAGATTGGGAGTTTTTAAAATATTCTGTTACAGGGACGCAAAGAGTTTTCGGAATGATGACCCACAACGTTCTTGCTGTATGTTTCTATTATTTTTTTTTTAAAATAATACATTAATTCGTGTGGTCACCGGGCCCACGGAAAATGAGATTTTTTTAAAAAAAAGTGGGAGAAAGCCCCTCCAGAATAGTTGGAAATAAACTTGTGTTTTAATTTCATGTACTTCCCACTATATGTACTTCAGGTTTCACCCTACTTTTCCTCGGAGAAATAAACTTTTAAAGAAGCTCGCACTAAGGGTCAAAATATTTCTTTCCTTGGATCGCAGTGTTAAAATAATCTTCCAGCATTTGAACTGGATCGACTGGAGGGGTGGGGGGGGGGAGAGAGAGGCTTCCAATCCTAATTAGCTACAGATATTTTATTCGGATCTAAAAGTCCCATTCGGCCCACGATTAGTTTCTTTCGATTAAAACTAATCGAAGCTAAGATTCGTGGGGAAGGGGGAGGTCTCCCCTATACCTCAGACCAAAATTACTTCGGTTTAAGTAGTATTTTACAGTGAGGTGAACTTTTGAAATCGCTTTTAAGAGCACAGCCCGGATTGTATTGTCCTCCTCGGAAGGGAAGGGAAGGGAAGGGAAGGGAAGGGAAGGGAAGGGAAGGAAAGGGAAGGGAAGGGAAGGGAAGGAAAGGAAGAAAGGGAAAAAAAGGAAGAAAGGAAAGAAGGAAAGGAAAGGAAAGGAAAAAAGGAAAGGAAGAAAGGAAAGAAGGAAAGGAAAGGAAAAAAGGAAAGGAAAGGAAAGGAAAGGAAAGGAAAGGAAAGGAAAGGAAAGGAAAGGAAAGGAAAGGAAAGGAAAGGAAAGAAGGAAAGTAGAGGCGGGCTGGCGGGAGGGGAGGATCCGAAGCAGCCCGAGTCGAGAAGGCGAGCCGGAGATTTGCATAAGGAAATGGCCCGGTTTGTCGGAGGTGACACCCAACACCAGGGGCTGGCACCGTTGCATGTCCGATTTGCTCTCTCCTCCTCCTCCCCCACACTTTCGCCCAGAACTGTGGAAAGTCTGCCGAGGGACAGGGGGCGGGGCGAGGAGGAGGAGGAGGAGTGGGGGGGGGGAGAGTCGAGTGCTCTCCTCCGGAGCCTTTGTGTGCAATCCGAATTCCCATGCTACCCTTTTTGACGGGTCACTGGTGACCCAATAGGCAGGTGGCAAGGAAGGCGTGTAATTAGAGCGCTTGAGAAGCCAAGCTTGGCTTGGCCCGACTTTCCTGGACAACGCCTACTTCCAGCCACCCCTCCCTCTTACCACAGGACACAACTTTACGCGGAGGGGGGGGGAGGGCTACCGATTCCCCTCCCCCAGGACTCCCCTCGCTTGGCTGGCCCAACCCCCGATCGCCGCCACCTCCTCTTTTCTGACTCTTCCCCCCCCCTCCGCCCCCGCCCAGGCTCCCCACCTAATCCCATTCCTCCACTCCGAGTTGCTGCAAAGAGCAGCTGTCGAGTTACATTTGGGGGAGAAGCCGGCGGCTTACGTTGATTGGAGGCAGTCAGATGAGTTTCCATTGGTGGGGGGGATCATTAACTTAACACTTTATCTAATGTCCTCATTGTCTGCTAGGGAGGCCTCGTTTCAGAGCCTAGTTCGGCTTCTCCGAGTCTCCCGAGAGCCGGATTTTTGACCTTGCCCTTCCCACTCCCTCCGGGTGGTTTGCTCAGAGACCCCTCGGCTCAAGAAGCGTCGGTGACCGAATCGGCTCCGGGGAGATTCGGATTCTTTCCTGCCTCCCCCGGATCAGTCATTTCGAGCGTGGTGTTCAGGGCTTCCCATGCCCGGGTTCCCACTTGGCACTAAGCCACCAATGTGGTTAGTTTGGTTTTGGTACCCAGTGTTGTGGGAATTCCTTAAATTGCGGTTTACCAACTTGGTTTATAGCTCAGGGCGATCTCTGGGCCCATTCCGTTGTGGCTTCTTTGACGTTAAGCATCAGCCTCTTGACATCTCAGTTCCAGGACAGTGGGTTGGTTTTACAAAGCAAACTGCTCGGCGGCACTTTATCCTCTAAACATCCAGTATCAAGAGTTCTTTCAACCGATTGCAGTCATAGTATTCTCTATGCAAGTCAACTTTTTGTGCAATAGGACTGAGCTCTAGGTATTCCTGGGCAGGATCTGATGGACACCGTTGGCTAATGCATGTTTACTTTGAAATACAGTAAGTGTGCTCTCTTATCTCTAAGCATCTAAGTCTTGGAGCTGCCAATGTTTTCAACAATATGCTGCCAGATCTTCATTTGTCTGCCAGTCTCATTGCAGGCACTTTGGCCAAGTTGTAAGCAAAGCACGTTCGTTACTGCATTTCATCTCTAAGAAGTTGCAAGGGGTTCTGATAGAACTGATATCAAGGAAGACTGGAATTGGGGGCATTTTAGTCACATTGAAGTCCAAGAACTTGGCTTTCTCTCAACTCTATGGGGAAGATGATGGCCTGCACACTGGTTACTTAAAGAGGAGTGTGGCTAAGGCAATCCTTGGTGGGGATCAAGGTTTTTTTTAGGCAACTGCTGTCAGCTAGCAGGAATCCACATGGGAGATGAAAGCAGAAAGGCAAGATTAATCCATATATGAGCAACTTCTGAAACTCCATCAATGGATGAGAATTCCCATCCCATTGCCCTCCAAATAACATGGCCCTTAGAAGATGAGAAGTGTAGCTCACCATATTTTGTGGGCCTTCAGTTGGGAAAAGGCAGGCGTTAGGTTAGTTAGAACCTGTCTCTTTAGAGCCAAGTAATGAAAGCGTAGTATCAAAATTATCTTGGGAGTTAAGAGACAACAGAAGAACCATTGTCAGGTTTAGGATGAAGGTTGGGGAAAACTCCGGGGAGAAAAGGAAGAAGGAATTTGAAACAGTTACTCTTGAGGAAACAACTAGTTGTTGGATCCCAGCCATTTGGTTTTCAGCTGACTAATCTCGGCAGCAAATAGAATAAGTGAGAAATGTTAGACAGCTGGACCCATCAAATTTGACAAGCTTTTTTCCCCTGTAAACTTTCTGAAGTACCTTACCTTGCTGGCAATTGCAGGTTAATACTATAACCAGGAGAAGTGCCAACAAATCTGACATGAAGAAGGCAGGCTGAAATGTTGTTCCTTGGAAGAGGGGCATTCTGCTTCCGCGTGTTTGTTTTGAGTTAGTGACTCATTTTGAGTTAGTGACTCATTAAGTGATAAAGGCCATTTGTACTTAAGGAAACTTTCTGGCAGGATGTCCTCCGTGAGAAAGGGGTATGCCAGAACTCTGAATTTTGAGGGGAATGTGATATGACTCCCAAGAGTACAGTGTGATAATGGTAGGAAGGCAGAATTTGGATAAATGCTACCAGGCATCTGAAGGGGCAACATAGCAGAAGACAAAATAGTGCTGCTTTGATAGAACATACTGAACCCAACCTAGCCAACCATTTTTTAGCATAAGGCAGTGTTTCTCAACCTTGGAAGCTTGAAGATGGGTGGACTTCAACTCCCAGAATCCCCCAGCCATCTTCAAGCTACCAAGGTTGAGAAACACTGGCCTAAGGGGTGGAGGAAAGCCATCCCAAGCAGTTAAGTTTAGAGTTCATTATGGGTAAGCAAGTTGTGCCAACAATCTATGCACTGCATGAACCAAAAGAGGATGCATTCATGGTGAATAAACTGGCACTTGGTAGGAAATCTCACCCGACTTCTCTGACAAGCAAGGTGCAAATGTAATGAATAACGGTGGCTTTTTCAGGAGAAGAAACATCTGCTAAGGCTAAATCCTTAGGGTTTAGCCCTTATCTAAGGGTAGGACCAGACTTGTTGGAGGAAGTCATTGCCGCTCTGCTAGAAGTATTTAAACAGAATCCAACTTCTATCTGTCTTGGACGCAGCATTTATTTCTACGGTCAAGATCAGATTAGATAATGTGTAGACTTGTGACACTGCTGAAAGGATGGTTCATATTTGCTCAGAAATAAAGCACAGAAATTGCATCTTTCCCCAACAAACAAAACATCATAATGTTCAACCAGACAACACATGTGTTTAGGAATACTGTACAAGGGATTGTATTATATATTTAATATTTTCATTTTCATGAGAAATACATTTGTAGGTTAGTACTAATATTTTCCATTTACAGATGAAGACCATGTTCCTAAGAAAACCTACTTAAAAATAAATCTCTGAAATCAGTAGTTAAACTGGGTTACACAGACAATGTTTATGCAATTGTTGGGGTGTGGAAATAGTTTTGGAGAAATGCATCTTCAAATCACTACTCACCCAAAAAATTTTCTGGTGATCTTGAGTAAATCAATTTCTTTATTGTCCCTAGCCTAGCTCAGGATATTTAGGGGTTAATAATGAAAGACAAAAGGGGGAAATACGCATACCTCCTTAACTGATTGGAAATTAACTCAAGGTGGAGTAGCTGTCGAATCTCAGCATATGTTAGCGCCTGGTTGACTTTGTTTAGCTATGAAAGTTAAGATTGAGTTTGGTTAGTATTTGGATGGAAGACTAATACTGGGGAATCTCATGCCTAGTAGTTAAGACTGGGAAATGGGCGGGAGGAATCCCCAAAAGGTATCAGTAACAAAGTACTTTTGTATTGGGACCAAGAAAGATGCATTAATGATGTAAGAAACGTGACCACGAAGATACTGCCAGTCAAACTCACCTTGGAAGAATCTTTTATATTATCAAGATAATCATATTCCCAATCTGATGCTCTCCCAGCCTGTTGATTTTAATGCTGATCATCTCTCTCCTGACAGGTAACCTAACAAAATTTGGAGGTGGAAGATTAAGGACACCTGCTTTAATCCTATTGTATGTTCTTTGCATTAAATGGGACCACGTCCTCTTCAGTTCTTAAGGCAGATTCACATCTGCTCTAAAGAAATGTATATTTCTGTGGATTCCTTGGCTTTGTTTAATTAGCAAAATGACCCATTTCTCTCAAACTCTATGGCTATTATGACGCCAGTTTTGATGCCTTATTGCTTCCAAATGATCACTTTTCTCTCTCCCCACCTTCATTTTCAGGCCGGATTTTAGACATCCCATGTAAAGTGTGTGGTGACCGCAGCTCTGGCAAGCACTATGGGGTTTATGCCTGCGATGGATGCTCAGGGTTTTTCAAACGAAGCATCAGAAGGAACAGGACTTATGTCTGCAAATCTGGAAACCAGGTATTGTTTATAGCATAACCTCTTGTGATCCCCTCCCTGCACACAGTTTCCTTCTGGTTTGGGCAAAGTAGGTTGTATATTATAGTGGGAATTCCTGTCACCTGGGGAGATTGCCCTCTTGATTTTTCAAAACGATGTATACTTAGGTGAGCACCAAATTTCTATTAACATAGCAGAGTTTGTAGTGTGTCCAACAATATGTTTGAATATGTCAACCCAACATATTAAGGACATATCTACTAAATATGCCTTTCATAGTCGGAAGATTTCAAAGCGGATAGAAAAAGAAAATGCTCAACACTTCTCTTGTCCCCCTAAAATAAATTGTGGAGTCAGCAAAAGTGCGATAGATTCCCTTTGAAGCTTTCAGCTTTAAGATCCTTTAAAAGTTGGGCTACTTTTAAAGCTGCCATTCAGTGCACAATGAGCAGCAAGGAAAGTTGATGTAGTTAGCGAAATGTATAGCCCAGTGCCATGCATTTTGATTTAGAAGCAAATTTGGCTTGATTTGATATTGCTTACTTTAAATAGAGCTACAATGCATTCTTTTATAGTATAAAATTTCAGGCAAGGAAATATTTCAGGCAGGGTTGAAATTCGCAGCTTAAATCATCTTTTGGAAATTTTGAGGAGCTGAGTGAAGATGGCTACAGTATATAGGAATTGGACATACTCAGAATAAGTCCATGGGCTTCGTACTTGTAGAGCTAAAAGCACCAGGGTAATTCACTTCACTGACCTACCAAAGTGGTCCTGAGTAAATATCCTGAGTTGATTGACTCATTGTTCCTTTAAAAATGATTCCCTTTCCCTGGTCCCAGTTTGCCAATTGTTTAAAATATTAGGAAGGAAGGAAGGAAGGAAGGAAGGAAGGAAGGAAGGAAGGAAGGAAGGAAGGAAGGAAGGAATTAGTGTCCTGTGGGATATTTATTTATAGGCAGTTGTGTGTGTGTGTGTGAGAGAGAGAGAGAGAGAATAGAAACCACCATTTTAGTGAAAATAGTTATCTCCTAAATTAACATGAAATGTGAGAGTTACTCTCATGGTGGCCTTGAGGAAACTTAAAAATTGTGGCTAACATTGTATTGTTGCCAGGAAATAAAAATACCCCTCAGTTATTCCAAGAAAAAGTGCAGAAGCTGAATCTCCCAAAGACCTGGGTGCAGCTGTCAGGGTATTCCCACCCCAAGTTCACTGTATTTGATTATAGACAGGAGACATTTACTAAATGGATGAGGAATCAACTTATTTACTCATCTAAATTTAATAGCAGTTTTGTTTGAATCCTAGCTTACTATACCAAACCAATAAGGCAAGTATGACTTTTAACACAAAATGGCTTGTGTGACCCAGATAGAATCTACCTGGGCAATTCCCCCCCCCCTCATTTCCATTAATGGAAAAAGTGTTTTTAGAATGTAGTATAAAGCTCAAGGTCATTGGAACTGTAAAATTGGCCCAGTTGTTTAAATATTCTGTGTGTGTGAGAGAGAGAGAAAGAGATATTCTCCAAGGAGCCAGGAATAAGGTGTGCAATAAGCCAAATCCCCAAAACCCAGAAACTCAAGCTTTGCATGGTGGAATTTTGGAGAAGGAACAGGGTAACACCTGAGGTTTTCTTTTGGCAGATGGTGGACAAGATACAAAGGACGTTCTGGCAGATATTAATGGTACATCACCTTCCAAGCAATGTGTTATCTGCTTCTCCCTTTACCTCAGTTTGATCGCGTGCACTGCATTTCAATCTCATCCCATCTCTACAAGTTCTTATAGAGTTTGATTGCTAGGTGCTTGAACCAATCAATGGACGGTTGCTCTTTGGCCCAGATTCTGGTCCCTGGAATCATGGCTGGAGCACCTCTGTGATCTTTGTAGAGCTGCTGCAAAAAAGCCTAAGAGGATGTTCCTCCTCTTGTAACTTGGTAGCTGCTGTTATTGTAGCACGAGTGAGCACAGCACAGCACTAGGATGGCTGAAAATAATAGAGTACTGTCACTGCATTTTTTGTATTTACCAGCAGAGCTCATTATTTCTGGACTATCAGACTTTCCGTAGCTTGCCAAGAATCTTTATCAGTAAGCTAAACTGCGCATGTCTTCCACCCACATTCTTTTCTTTCACTTGCTCTCACACCTTTTTTTTTCTTTTCCTGCCAGAGGTCCGGCTGGTCCGGCAGGAATGTTATAAAAATGTAACTATTAGATTAGTGAGATGTTTTATTTTCTTTATAACAAATAAATGAGTTTTCTTAGAAGATATATCTTCCGGTTTGTTTTCTTAAAGTATGCTGGCAAGGAAAGGTCTCGATCCACCCCTCTTAATCAAGGTGCGATTATCCCAAAGGCAGAATGGGATTAATCAGCGCCCTGACAAGTACGTTTTTGGTCCCCATAATACCCCAATCATTTCTTTTCTTTCAACCCTTTTTAAAACTCCCAGACAGTGTTTGTTTTTCTTTACCTTCTCATAATCAGAGTATCAGATATGTTGCAAAACTAGGATCTTAGTTTCCCTTTATGTGTTTTCTGTCATTTTCCTGTCCCATAATAATAGCACCTTCATTTTTAAAACCGATGAACTTTTGAATCAGTTTTATTTGGAGTCAAATGGCTGGGAAGAGCAATTGTCACTCTGTTTTTCCCAGCATGGGTTCTGGGAAAGTTTCTATTGATAATTCTCTTCTCTTGATCTTTTTTCCCCTCACCAGGTATGCGCCTTACTCATATTTTCCTATAATTTCTCCTTTCCCGTTTCATTTTATTAACATACACAACATATGCACATACACTTCCTCCCTTCTTCTTCCTTCAAACTCCTATGCAAATAAAGTTACATTATACTTTATACTTTTCAAAGTGGTGTGAACATGGAATTGTGCAACTTTCTCATTTCCTTTTGAATAGTTTCTGCCACAATTATTTTCTTAAGGCTATTAAAAGTGCAAGAAATTACTCTCGTGAAAAGTAATTCTTCTCATCTGTGTTAATTCTTCCATTGCCATTTCCTTCACTTTAACTCACTTTCCAAATGTTCTTATTTGCACAGATTATGTTATGTAGATATAGTCCAATGGAACTGTAGGTTGTGAGCCTTTTTGCATTTGAACTGTATTTCTGTGGGGCCAACTTACAAATTGTATGCAAAAGCATATAAAAGAAAGCCTTGTCTTTTATTAAAGAACACTTTGAGCCATGGATAGGGGATTATTTTATTTGGAATAATTATTGGAAAGACACATTGAGACGTGGTATATTTGAAACTGATCCACAAAAAGATATTTTCTTCATTGGTGGAAAATCCAGATCTTTGATAAGCATTTGAAATAAACAATTAGGCCAGACAAGCAGCATCTAGATAGATGCAAACTCTCCTGCCTGTTTTTAGAAAATAATGTTCTATATCTTGTGGTTTATCAATAGATTCATAAAAGAGAAAAAAATAATAGGGCTATTTTTCTCTTCCTGCTCCTCCTCCTTTTCTTCTTTCTTTGTCTTTCTCCCACATATACATTCTTTCAAAAAAATTAGGCAACTTTCTAATTTTTCTGCCACCCGACAAAATACATTTCTCTTGCTGAAATCCAGAGGTGATTGGGTTAAAACAAATGAGGTTAATTAAATGAAAGTTAAATTGTTTTAATGAAAATCAAATGGTAGTAAATTAATTGAAAAGAAACTACTATTTAAGACGACCTGGGGAGTGAGGTAAAAATTGAGAGAAGAATTTATTGAGATTATTTGAATTGAAATTGGCTACCTTCTGTGAAATTTAAAGGTTCTAGTCATTATTTCTAAATATATGTAGATTAGCATGCTTCAGTTTTGAACGCCTTTGCTAAATGTGATATACCAAATTCATTTTAAAGGTGACTTAATAACAAGTACCCAGGATCTTTTCAGTCCATAGCGATGTGCTCAGTTATACTTTAAATGGCAGATGCAGTATTATATTTTTAAACTTTTCCTCAAGTTAAAAAAGACAAATCCTTGAATAGAAATATATGATACAATTGTTACCTTTACTGTGTATACTTATTTTTTGCTAAAGCGGGCAGACATCGCTACTTGCATTCTAAAGTAGAATCTAACATAGGATAGATTGAAGAATATCTGCCATTTATTATACTTAAAGATTTGTTCTGAACCTATTTTTTCTCCTGTTATACTGTATTTCTCTTCACCCTCATATTGCCTCCCAGCTATATTGTTGCTTAGTTAACTATCATGAAACTTTGAGGGGTTTTGTGTGTCTGTGTGTGGTCATCTCACTTAGAACCAGAATGTTTGAGGACAGAATTTTTTTAAAGTAACAAAACCTAAACCTAATTTGAAGTTTTCCACTCTCTTCTTGAGGGAAGTTAAGGAGCCTGAATAAAGCAGAAAGATCTTTAGGGAACCACAGAAAAATGAAAAGTTGAGGATTGGGAGTTGTAAATATCCAGGACCATCTATATATGAATTTTACAAAACCAAGGTATTTATAAAATATTGAGTGTTGCATCACTGCCTCCGTGTGGGGCCAAGGATAATTTCAATCTCTTCTGCTCATCCCTCCTTTGCCCCAATTATTACCCGAGAAACTGACTTAAAGAATTTTTTCCCCAGTTTATTAATGCTTCGATTCATTTGGAGTTTACAGAAAGAAGCCAAAATAAGAATACAGTGAGAATTGCTTCTATAGTCAGACAGGTCTCTCTTAAGAACCTTAGGCTCTTAAGACTACCATTGTCCAGACCAGTATTTTTTTTAAAAAAATAAATAAATAAATACAGAGGACTCAAAAAGAGCTTTGATTCTATGGGTTATAATATTTATATTAAAAATGTTAAATGACGTATTTACTTCCACTATAGCTTCTTACCATTATTTGGTAGGTTTTAATGTATTATTTTTCAACATAGGTTGGCAATTTTTTTTAATTTTTTTGGGGGGGATCCCTGAGAAGGTCTTGGGGGATGATTGCTCTACATCAAGACTGCAGTTATGTCTCCTCTCACAGGAGACATATGGAGACATTTCCCATTAGCCCCGACCAGCACAGTCTGGGGTCAGGGGAGGCCAGTGTCTCCATTCCCCTTGAAGGCCAACCTTCTCCCAACAACCTGTTGTCCTCCAACCTGTTGTTAGGTGACACAGATCTCATCATCTTCATCATCATCTTCTCCATCACCAGGGTGCCCCCCGCCTCCCCGGGTTGCAAAAGGGGGCGGCTGCTCACTGCACCTTCCAGGCCAGCGCGCGATCCCCCAGGCAAGTTGGCCGGGTGACTTCGCTCTTCCCTTTGGAGCCCAGGAGCCGCGGTCGTTTTTAACTTCCGAGCCACGGTGCGCAGGCGCAGGACTCCAGGTCCCCAGGGCTTCAGTTCTTCCGAGAGCCGCCGGCGAGTCCTCCTTCCCCGCTGCCGTCGAGGGCAAGGCGAGCATCTTTGCAGGCACGGGAAAGCCCCCTTCCCCCCTTCAGTGAGCAGGGCGTGGCCCCTGGGCGGATCTCCACGGGCTCTTCAGAATGCAATCTCGGGGGTTGCCCGCCCGTCTGAAAGGGAGCAAATAGAAGACTCCACTCCGAAATAGACGGGGCTTAACCATTGCTCAGTTGCCCGATCGCTCTTTTGGCAGCTGTAGGTGTGCTTGTGTGGGGCAGGGAGGGAGGGAAGCGGCTTGTTAAAAGAAACGGGCTCTACTTTTAGACAGGATTCACAGCTAAGCTCTGATTTCTTGAAGCACGATTTGGCTAAAGCCATCAGCCTGCTGGATACACCCAGCGAGCTAAGCCAGAATCCAGACCAAGCCTTATAGAATACAATTAGATTAGATTAGATTAGATTAGATTAGATTAGATTAGAATAGAATAGAATAGAATAGAATAGAATAGAATAGAATAGAATAGAATAGAATAGAATAGAATAGAATAACAGAGTTGGAAGGGACCTTGGAGGTCTTCTAGTCCAACCCCCTGCTTAGGCAGGAAACCCTACACCACTTCAGACAAATGATTTTATTTATTTATTTATTTATTGGTTCGATTTATATGCCACCCTTTTCCGGAGACTCAGGGCGGCTTACAATGCGTTAAGCAATAGCCTTCATACTTTTGTATGTACCTGCTTAGTAGGGCTTTCGCCCCACCCCCCAAAAGCGGTGTTCTATTTTATACCATAAGTCAGCTTATTGCCCCCCACAAACCGGGTCCTCATTTTGCCTACCTCGAAAAGATGGAAGGCTGAGTCAACCTTGAGCCTGGTGAGATTTGAACTTGCAGTAATTGCAGGCAGCTGGTGTTACTTAACAGTGCTTTAGTCTGCTGTGTCACCAAGGCTCTTGTGATTAATGTTTTCTTTAAAACTTCCAATGTTGGAGCATTCACAACTTCTGGAGGCAAGTTGTTCCACTGATTGATTGTTCTAACTGCCTTGAGGTGTCTCCATGCCCTTTCCCTCTTCCAGAAAAGGAGTGGGGGGGGGGCTTTTGCAGCCAGCTGCCCCAGGCTCCCCTTTCGCCCTTCTGCTGCTGATGCCCCGTTACTAGTGGCTGCTAGAAGGCAGAGCCGAGCAGCAAAAGCCAAGAGCCCCGCCGCCTCCGCCGCGCTTCGATCGCCCTTCAAATGGGAGCGAAGCCCATCGGTCCGGCTCTGCTCTGAAACGCTCATTTCGGGGGAGGCTTAATCCGAGGGCAGCGGAGGGAGGACTTTTCGGCCACTCTCCAGGATCGAACCCTCCAGGCGCCAGTCTCTGGGTCACTCGATGACCTACACGCCGATGTCAGGTCTGCTCAGCGCAGCGAGCCTCGGAGCTTGACCGTCTGTCCCACGAAGTTAAGTTGCGGTTAGGCTCAGAGCGGGTCTCCTGACCCCGGAGGCCGCTCCTCCTTTCTCCAAGGTGGAAACGAGGCTGATCCGCAAGCAGATTCTCGATGATGTGCAGCAGAGGGAGTTCGCCTTTGGTCTTCTCCTGGGGAGCGTCCTTTCCCCAAATCAGTCCCACCTCACCCCAGGGGTGAAATCCAGCAGGTTCTGACAGGTTCTGGAGAACCGGTAGCGGAAATTTTGAGCAGTTCGGAGAACTGGCAAATACCACCTCTGCCTGGCCCCAGAGTGGGGAGGGAATGGAGATTTTGCAGTATCCTTCCCCTGGAGTGGGAGGGAATGGAGATTTTGCAGTAACCTTCCCCTGGAGTGGGGTGGGAATGGAGATTTTGCAGTATCCTTCCCCTGGAGTGGGGTGGGAATGGAGATTTTGCAGTATCCTTCCCCTGCCATGCCCACCAAGCCATGCCCACAAGCCACACCCACAGAACTGGTAGTAAAATAAATTGGATTTCACCACTGCCCCCCCTCCCCCCCCGCGGCTTTGACGCGCTTCCCACAAAGTTGTCCTTCGGTGTTTAGACATGAACAGACTAGAAGGGAAAGAGGTATGAAACTAGAAGTGTATGCATGTACAGGTAGTTCTTGACCTACAACAGTTCACTTAGTGACCGCTCGAAGTTACAACGGCACTGAAAAAAAGTGACTTCTGACCATGTTCTAGACTTAAAATCGTTACATCCCTGTGGTCAGGTGATTTACATTTGGATGCTTGACAACTGACTCTCATTTTGCAGTATCACTGGGTCATGTGATCCCCTTTTGCAACCTTAATGGGTTAAAGCAAAGTTAATGGGGCAACCATGTTAACTTAACTGGGTTACTAATTTAACAACTGTAGTGATTCCCTTAACAAATGTGACAAGAAAAGCTGTAAAATGGAGCAAAACTCACTTAACAATTTTTTGACTTAGCAACATAAATTTTGGGTTCCATTGTGGTCATAAGTCAAAGACTTCCTGTAGTCCTACATCAGGGGATAGGTTTCTGTTACCTTAATTTTGAATTTTAATCTACCCTCTCAACATAATCTCAATTTTTCTTCTTGGCTCCATCCCAGCTGCTTTGCATCCAGAATGCATGGGGCCTATAATCAGTGTGTCTCACTGTCCATTATAGAGCTAGATCTTCCAGCCAGTTCTATGGACAGCTAACCCAATACATTCAGTAGGTGATTGCTTCACCATAATTGGGTTTTGCTTGGATATAAATGCATTTCTACCTGACAAAGTGTAGACTCCTTGTTACTAACCAATGAGATATTGACTGGCTGGAGAAATAGTGAGGCACCCGCTCAGTCCAGGAGGCCTGAGCAGGCCTCCACACAAACAAAGACAACTCTGTCAGCAGCCTGATATAGTTCTGCAATTTATGCTTCCCATAAAAAAAAAAATCCAAGGAGGAAAGTCTTATGGAGACATAAGAAACTGGGAGGAAGACAAGGGTGGGGAGATGATGAGAATGTTCCATTTCAGACTGATGGGTTAGTAGAGTAAGAACATCACAGTCCTCTGATGAAAAGGAGATTTTTTTCAGGAGGGTTGGAAGGGAGCTGTCTTGGGTGCTGAAAGAAGCTCATTGTCTACCTAGTATCCTGTCGACACTTGTCAGTACTGTTATGAAATACAAAAAACTAAATTATGATGTTTCTGAGATGCACCAGATTGGAAAAAGCTGGTCCATAGAGCTTCTTCTACTACTTGCCTTCTGATATGCTAGTTATACCTATTAACATATATTGTCCAAGCTGATTGTTCATAATGGGAATTGTAGCTAACAAATCTAAAGGACACCAGATTGGGGAATAATGTGTGTGTGGTTCCATTTTTTTTCCTTAGGGGATTTCCATTTGTGGAAAGCACCACTTTCCTTTTTCTGGGGTAATCTAAAATGAAGCTCTATTCTGGAGAATACATATATTTGTGTGTATCGAGTTATATTATCAAGCACCTTTCTATTCTATAAGTTGATTGTTGAGATTCACTTTTGTCCCTCCCTTTCACTTAAATATCTGTGTTTTAGGGAGGCTGTCCAGTGGACAAGACACATAGGAACCAATGCAGAGCATGTCGGCTGAAGAAATGCTTGGAAGTCAACATGAATAAAGATGGTATTTTTGCATCCTTTCACATTCTTTCCTGCGCCCCAATCATTGCTCAGATCATTTGCTCTGCTTTTAGCATTCCTTGTCTCTGTGTCTTTTTATAAGCAACAACGGTAGTTTGTTTCCTAATCTATTTAGTCTATTTTGAGACATTTGGCTTAATAATAGCTTTTCACAGTGGTTTCCATTCAAACCTAGTGTTTACATATTAGATTGCCTATTTAGACTGAAATACTAACAGATAGTGAACTCAGTAGGATTTATTTTAAATCATAGGATTCCACAAAAAAGTAAATGCGAGGAATATCAAAGTAATGTAGCAAGATCATATAGTAAGAGATGGGGAGGACAGGGATTTTCCTGACTTGCCCACTGCCATTGTCTGAATGCTATTAATCAGTTATCAACTTTGCAACTTCGTCTTCTCCCCACTCCATTCCACCCTATTGTTCTAGTGAGGGCCTTCCACAACACATTCTCAGAATTTTAGGTAATCAGTAGGAAACAAATACGGTTTCTTCCTCTTTAAGAATTTGATTTCTTTATGGTTCTCCATGACTTTTGAAGGACAGATTGAGCATATAGATAATGCAGCAGCCCGGTGGTGAAATATAAAATTTGTTACTACTGGTTCTGTGGGTGTGGCTTGATGGGGGGGGGTGTAATGTGACTGAGTGGGTGTGGCCAACTTTTATTTTTAACTTTTAAAAGCATTTGTAGAAAAAATGCTTTTAAAAGTAAAAAAAAAAAGCCTCTGATGATTGCATAGGGGGAGCAGAGATTTCTGCTACCGGTTTTCCGAACCACCCACCCCCATCGCTACCGGATTGGGCGATCCGGTCCAAACCGGGAGCATTTCACCCCTGCAGCAGCCCCATCATTGCTGTTCGTGCCACATACAACCCAACTAGTTCCCATAGGAGGAACAAGTGCTGCTTTCCTTCTCTGCCTTCTCTGCCTTCTCTTTGTGTATTTCTGTTGTGCTATTACAGTCTGTCAAGCTTCAGGAACTTCAGTCCCATCCTACCACCTCCAAAGAATTTAATTCCCATTTATTTTTATGTTGTCCCCACAAATAATTCATTCAGTCATTCATTCATTTATTGCCTCAAACCATTTACAATTCTGGCATAGTAGAGCAAAAGGTAAACAGAAAGTAGATGCAGATTTACCACAAGATAAAGTGCAAAATTAATTTTATTTTTTTGCATCCATTCATTCAATTTCTATGGCATAAATAGGGAACAAATCCAGTACATTGAAAAAAATTAATTGAAATCCCAAACACCTAAATAATATCATCAAAAGCAATATTTGATTGTTTACGCTTCTACACATTACTTTTATTGCCACAGCATCTATGTATATTAAAAGTACTTTTCGTTTCCAAAAACATGGTGCTTCAAAACTAGATTCCCTTTTTTATGATCATCTCCAACAACCCATTATACAAATACATCCCCAAATCTTTTTATTTTTTAAAACATTTTTTAATGTTAATCCAAATAGGAGATTCCCTACTGCTCCTGTCAGGCTTATAATAAATCAAATTTATTTCTTGTACTATTTTCCAATTGTTATCTACCGTATTTTCCATTTCTCTTCAGACCACTGAGATTTCTTAATTTGTGCATTATTTAGTCTTGTAGGCAGCACAGAGTTATCTGAATATTCTGTATTCTATCCACTGAATATCTGAATTACTCCTCAGATATAATCATGTGCAGTTATCACTGAAGATTTAACTACTTAGTTAACACAATCTGTAAAATTCAGTTCATTGCCACCAGTCTGAAGCGAGTTCTTTGTCTGTGGTGCAGAGAGCCTTATCTCATAATCTCTCTTCTATCTGTCCCTTTCTTCCCGTGAGATCAGGGGTGAAATCCAGCAGGTTCTGACAGGTTCTGGAGAACCGGTAGCGGAAATTTTGAGTAGTTCGGAGAACCGGCAAATACCACCTCTGGCTGGCCCCAGAGTGGGATGGGAATGGAGCATTTGCAATATCCTTCCCCAAGGAGTGGAGAGGGAATGGGGATTTTGCAGTATTTTCCCCCTGGAGTGGGATGGGAATGGAGATTTTGCAGTATCCTTCTCCTGCCACATCCAGCAAGTCACACCACGCCCGCCAAGCCACGCCCACAGAATCAGTAGTAAAAAAAAATGGGATTTCACCACTGCCTGAGATTAATAAATATTCCTCCCTGCTCTTCTTTAGGTCCCGTCACTAACTAAATTAAGGTCCTCCTTATAGCATGTGTTAACGATTTTGTTGCTAATCCTTTCACTCTCAAATAGGCTTTTTCTAAACATCTCATGATATTTCAACAGGTTAGCAAATTATCAACTGGTCTTCGTAGATGAAAGGCAAAAGTCAGTGTTAAACTTGTTTTTTCACAGACATGATTAAACTTAAAGGCATGTGTATACCGCAGCAAATTAACTAAAAATGGTTATGCCCTCTCCTAATCTTCTCCTTCTCATTTGTCCAGCTGTTCAACATGAAAGGGGACCAAGAACTTCTACCATCAGGAAACAAGTAGCTCTGTATTTCAGAGGGCACAAACAAGATAATGGAAGCACACCACACTTCTCCTCCGCAGCTCTACCTGCTCCAGCTTTCTTCACTGCAGTCACACAGCTGGAACCTCATAATCTAGAACTAGCCACAGTTTCTACAGCATCTGAAAGGCAGAATCTAGTTGGCTTAGCTCAGCCGACTCCAAAGGTTTGCTCCTTTATTCTACTTTATTATGGGAGGAAATGCAACATTGTCCCAACAAACTCCAGACCAAAACAAAAGCAAGCCCTGCCTTCTTGACAAAGACTTAAAATATTCTTCCATATTTTGTCTTTGTGCAGTGGCGGTTGCTTTTCTCTGGGCTCTAGTGTCCTGACTCATCTGAATAAACAACAAGTGTTTATTTATTTATTTAAATTTATCCTGCCCAATTCCAAATGATTCTGGTGGTTCAAGGTATATTTATTTATTTATTTATTTATTTATTTATTTATTTATTTATTTATTTAATTATTTAATTATTTAATTATTTAATTATTTAATTATTTAATTATTTAATTATTTAATTATTTAATTATTTAATTATTTAATTATTTAATTATTTAATTAATTAATTGAATTTGTATACCGCCCTACTCCCGAAGGACTCAGGGCGGTGAACAGCCATAGAATAAAACATATAAATACAAAATTTAAAATAGACTAACACGAATTAAATAATTTGGCTGAACAAATTTAAAACCCCAATAATTTAAAACCAAATTTAAAATTTCCATTTAAAAAGGGGAAAGACTTAAGTCAGGCCGGCTTCATGAAATAGGAAAGTCTTGAGCGCGCGACGGAAGGTACGCAGATCCGGGATCCTCTGTATCTCCGGGGGGAGCTCGTTCCAGATAGTAGGTGCCCCCACAGAGAAGGCTCTCCCCCTGGGGGCCGCCAGTCAACATTGTTTGGCTGACAGCACCCGGAGGAGCCAAAACAACCAACTAACCAGAAGCTCCCTAGCTGTCAAAGAAATATTACTGTGTAAAAGCTTGGGGTTAAGGAAGAGCACAGAAATTCATTCCACCGTGTCTTGTATTGGTTACTCTCTAGTACAGGGGTCAGCAACCCATGGCTCTGGAGCCACATGTGGCTCTTTCATCCCTCTGCTGTGGCTCCCTGTTGCTCAAAATATGCGTCACAACTGCCAATCTGTGACACCCATGGACCCGCAATTTATTAAGCTTTTCAACCCCCGGTAGGCCAATCATGGATAAATCCAAGAAAATAAAAGTTTTAGAAGAAAACGGAATCTTTAATTCAACTGTATACGCTAGTTTTGTGGCCGCTCAGGAAATAGTCAAGCACGGGAAGAGTTTTGTGGCTCCCAGTGTTTTCTTTTCTGTGGGAAACGGGTCCAAATGGCTCCCTGAGTGTTTAAGGTTGCTGACCCCTGCTCTAGTAAATCTATTTAATATTGAGTTTAAATTACCAGTAAATTGTATTTTGAATACCAAATGTTAGACGTAACTGTGATGATTGACTTATCGATATATATTGCTTACTATATGTGGATAAATTAATAATGGCTAGTCTATTATTCTGCATGTTGGCTGTTTGCTAAGAAAAGCAGCCCTCTTAAATGCTTAGCACTATGCTGATACAAGTGGTCCCAAGTGATTGTTTAGGGATCACCATAGGGTGGTGCTTAAGTGAGTTGCCACTCTACCTCTTCTGACATGTTTGGTTGAGGCAGGAACAGAATGGAACAGAAAAGGAGGATTATGAAGATCCAATTATAACCAAACCTAATGAACTTGGTGTTATCCTGTGCAGTTCTGTTATTTATAAGTGTCTGTCATTTAATGCAAAGATAATCAACTTTCTGGTGGCTTAACTTTTTGTAAGTTAAAAAAATCTTGGGCTTTATAGTGAAGGGATGTGACTAGTGATGTGATAATGCTGGAATGGGCAGGGCCAAGAGTTTTGCTCCTCTTTTTTTACATTTGGGGGAATGGGGGCCTTGTAAAGAGCAAAATGTGTACTACTGTATAACTCTTAAAAGGTAAAGGTAAAGGTTCCCCTCACACATATGTGCTAGTCAGCCCCAACTCTAGGGGGTGGTGCTCATCTCCGTTTCAAAGCCGAAGAGCCAGCGCTGTCCGAAGACGTCTCCGTGGTCATGTGGCCGGCATGACCAAATGCCAAAGGCGCATGGAACGCTGTTACCTTCCCACCAAAGGTGGCCCTATTTTTCTACTTGCATTTTTTACGTGCTTTCGAACTGCTAGGTTGGCAGAAGCTGGGACAAGTAACGGGAGCTCACCCTGTTATGCGGCACTAGGGATTCAAACTGCTGAACTGCCGACCTTTCGATCGACAAACTCAGCGTCTTAGCCACTGGGCCACCATGTCCCTTAATAACTCTTATAACTCGTACAACTTTTAGAGACTTAAATTACCCATTTTGCTCATTTTGCTCCTTAACTCTCCTCAAAAATGAAAAAAGTGAGATAACACATTTTCCTACTCTGTTTCTATAAAGTAAACTCGCTCAACCTGAGCTGGATTTCTGGTTACTATACAAATACACTCATGTTGTTTTCTTGGCAACCAGCCAGAAATAGTTTGCCGTTACCTCTGCAAAGTTTCAAACTTCCCAGTCAAATTTACAGCACTTGGATTTCAGCGCTGACTTTAACTCCAAACTTATTTCGCTTTTTTTTTTTAATTGCTAAGGATGACTAGGTAGCCCATAGTGTTACATATTTGTGCATATCTGGCTTCTCTCTGTGTCTGTGTACATGTACCAAAATGCACCACTCTATGTACTGCATGTGAATGTGCACGGGCATAAGCTGTCTGCAAGTAACACAACCCAGCATCAACTTCTAGCCTGTATTTTTTTTTCCCTGGGAAAGAATGACCATATAAGGTACAAACTGTACAGTCTCCTTATCTATATTCACAGTAGACAGAGAGTAAATTCAGACAAAAGATAGAAATACTAGCTCGTGGTTGGTCACCAAACCTCTCCTTTCATTTTTCTTCTGTCTGTTTAGACTTGATCTCTCTCTGAGAAATAGATTAAATAACTAAGAAATATATTTGTTTAAATTGTGTGCTACTTTGCCAACCATCACATTTTTAAAACGTTATTACTAGTATCCCCATGAAGTCAGCGGCACTCCCATGTATCTGTATGAAGTGGCCACGGAATCCGTCTGTGAGTCTGCAGCAAGGCTTCTCTTCATGAGCATCAAATGGGCCAAGAGTGTCCCGGCCTTTTCTACTCTCTCCTTACAAGATCAGGTAAACCTTACACAGGGTGGTGAGGAAGCGGTATCACTGTGTGTGTGTGTGTTGCTTTTCTTACTCATCCTTCAAGGTTGATTTACTTCTTGGGATCACTGGTGCTCTATTCACCAAATAAAGAGACTTGTGTGGTTTATTCCTCATCTTTTCCTTTTTGCCAGCGCACAGATTTTTTAAAAAAAAGAATTAATGATAAAATAGATAATAAAAATCATTGGACAGCCAAAAGGTGATGCGTCTCATAAATTGAATTCAGTGTTTCATAAACACTGAAAAGGTAGGCGTTAAATGCAAAGAGAGAGGAAGGAACTCACTGCGCTTGTTCTGAAGGGTGAGAAATGTTTGCGAGGGTTTGGGGCGGGCAGAGAATAGAGTTTTGTGTATGTGTGTGAGGCGAGGGAAAGGTAGCCAGTTGCCTCTGGCATGGAGCCTTGCAAATGCTGCCATGTACAGCCAGTATAGGGGGAAGAGTAGCATGAGTCAGAAACGGGTGGCTGAATGCATTTGAGGAGGGGCGGGCTTGTTCCCCGTAGTCTGTGAAACCTAGTCTGAAAAACTTGCTTGAGATCAGTTTCTTTCTTCCATAGCAAAGAGCCTGGCTCGCCTGCTTGAAATATCTGGCATAGTGCAACAAGATTCCCTTTGCAGAGAGCCAGCTCACTGTGTAGCACCCCATGAAGGTGATTGACTGAGAGCTGTTGGCCACAGACTTGTGTTGCAATAGAAAATCAGGCTGGATGCTATGTGGCTATTATTTTTAAATTTATTTTAAAGGATACAGAATAGGTTAGATTAGAACAATAAATATATGGATTGCATATATATTTTTGAAAGGCTTCAAGGGCAAATTCTGGCAAGTGGATTTTTAGGAAGAAGGAAAGAACAAGGAATTTTTAAAGCACCGTTAACCAAAAAATCCACTCCAGGGAGCAGATTGAGACTTGGGCAGTGGCCCCCAGCAGTGGATAATGGATAGGAGAACAGCAGTTCTCTTTTGGGAAATCCTCCCCTCCTCCCCCATACCACAATTTCTCTAAATTGGAGAACAGAACAGCCTGCTTGCATTTCTTGTTCCACTTCTTCTTTTCCTCCCAGTTTAGTTTCTCTACTCGAGTGCAATGACTCACAAAGTGGGCAACCACATTTGAGCTTGATCCCAGCTTACATCATTTTGATTGGATCCAGAGTTCAATGGGGGCATTCCCAAATTGAATTGTATTGCTTCTGAACGGGTGTCCAATAGCACTTAATTCTTATTAAGATTATGTCCTGTCTCCCACTGATTGCAACCAAAAATGTAGGCAAGGGCAACTTTCTGCGGGTCTGATAATCTAATGAGTTTGGTTAAGTTAACTCTGTTTCTAAAAAGTGGAAGGTGTTTTTCTCTCTTGATCTTTTTAAATAATCACATTGAATTTGAGCTGGTTTAAGTGATAGCTATTTACTATGAATAATAACTGTTATGCATAATAAGTATTGTGAGCTTTAATCAGCAACTGCTGGTATCTTTGTGGATTTCTGCTTTCTTAAGGGTATAGTACAGATAACTTATTAAATTAGCTCCCACCCTCCCATGCTTCTGTACGCCTCCTTTTATAACATAACATTTACATGGATGATTTCTGTTAGATGTAGGATGCCTAAACTGAAAATTCAGAAAATTCAACCCTATGTCTTCATTGTGTATTTTTAATGCAAATAAGGGGAAATTATTAGTTTAATGAAAATAATCATATGAATGGTACTTTAATAAATTGCATTATATTTCAATTCTCCTCCCTGGCCCATTTATTCTCTGCAGTGACACTCCCAGCATATTATTGAAAGGCCTAGTATGTGGATGTGATTTTATTTGCTTCCTTATTATTAGGCTATCAAACCTGGGCTGCAAATATCAGAACAATCAGTAGATGGCAGCACAGAGGTAAGAGTTTTATGTATCACTTTGCTGCCATCTGGTGGCTGTTCAGGTTGTTGTAGCACAAATATGTTAGTCCAGTAATTAATCTTTCTTCCATCTGGACCTCTCCAGATGTATCACTATCTAAAATATCCCAGCTTTAAAGATAGTTTTTGAAATCCAAATAGGTGAACAGTACCAGAACGTCTTCCAATGTAATTTTTCCACTGAGAAATACCTGTGTATTGGCATGTCCGTGTTAGGGAGGTGGGGGAATTTAAGAGAAATGAGAGTCCCATCAATATACTAGGAATGGCTTACTGCAGATTAAACTTATCACTGAACAGATCTCTTTGAAATAGGCCTATTATCCATGTCAGGAATCAGATTATCCTGTCATTTTAAATGAACTGGCTGCATATTTAGCACTCAAAATTAAAGGCGAATTTCATGAGTTGTTACGTGAAATTAATCCACCCTTTTAAAGCCCAAGGATTTCATTAACTGCACCATTATCCCCTCTAGGTTTTGAGACCAGACTGTGAGATGCAAAGTTTCAGCTTACTCCAAATTGAGAATTACAGCCTGCAATTGGAACATTTTTTTCTTCTATTGTTCTCCCACTTCTCTTAAATGCAGATTCTTGTTTCAATAATTATAGACAATAATGAGGGAGACAGAAAGAGTGACAGAGTTACTCTTCTGCTGTTACTAGTCGGCTGTTTGAAGCTCAAGCTTCTGCATCTACACTAGGGTGCAAATTTATTGAGTTTAATTGGAGTTATAACTGTACAGCTATGCTTATGAGAATAACATTACAATTGCTAGAAGTATACGTAGAAAGGGAAATATTTACAAGGCGACCACTATAGCATCTTGGCCTGTGTTGGAGGGGGACAAACTCTTCTTGAACAGCAAAACAGGGCCTGGTGGCTCAGCAGACTAAAAACATTGTGATTAACACCAGCTGTCTGCAATTACTGTAAGTTCAAATCTCACCAGGCTCAAGGTTTACTCAGCCTTCCATCCTTTCTAAGGTAGGTAAAATGAGGACCCAGTTTGTGGGGGCAATAAGATGACTTTGTATAAATATACGAAAGTATGAAGGCTATTGCTTAATGCATTGTAAGCTGCCCTGAGTCTCCGGAGAAGGGCGGCATATAAATCAAATTTTTTTAAAAAAATTGCCGCAAATTAAAAGTCAAGCACAAAGGCAACCATCCACCTCTGAGTTCCACAAAAGAAGCACGTCCCATCTTTTGGAGCTTGAGGACCACACTTTAATGTTTTTGTGAAGAGCAACAACTGCTATGAAAAAGGAAATATAAAGCGACTGAGGCCACATTATATATACAAACAAGCACAGGATTTGGTGGCATGGGATATTTTAAAAACATGTTTGCTCCTCCCAAAAGATGCAAAATTAATATTCAAGTGGTGGAATTAAATGAGAGTTCTGGAGGCCCTAAAAAGAAGGCCTGGATAGAAATGGGCATACCTTTGCTGTAATCAGACAACAGAAATGGTAGAAGTTAAAGGATAACCATCAAACCATCAAAAAGCTTTCGAGCTCTGGTTTTTTCCTGCCTTTTTAGCTAAGTCTGCTAAAAAAGATCTGTCTATGAGATAGGGATAAGAACTGAGGGGCTGGAGTTGGGAAGAAGACCTATTCTGTTGATTGGACAACAGTCACAAACATAATAAGGGCTGCTAGACCTGTTGACTTCATAGGAGACAATTGCTGTGAAAAACAGGGCAAAAGGAAATTCCTAGATGAAACAGCCCATCAAAGACCAAGAGGCTGCACTTGCTTAGTATGCTAAACCATAAACTTTCCAATTGCATTATAGTCTAAGAGTCCATACAAACCTAACCTGTGCAGTTAATTTACTATGCTGCGTTAACTTAAAAATTGTAGAGTAAACCATGACTCAGTTACCCATAAAGGCATCATGAGAACGTAGAATGTTCAGGTTTTCTACTCTTCCTAACCCATTAGGGATTTTGGACAGCATCGTGTCAGATGAGTTTATTTTTTAAAAAACCATTTCATCCAGCTTTTCAATGATCTGATAGTTAAATGACATAATTATTCATGGAAGTTTCCAAGGCAACGTGTTATTCAGTGGGGAGGAGCAGCATTAGGATTCATTGACCCTGATACTTAGATAGATGATAGATAGATAGATAGATAGATAGATAGATAGATAAATAGATAGATATTGAGAGGGGGGAGGGGGGAGGGAGAGGGAGATCTCCCCCCCCTTCCAACCTTTTCTTAAGTTATGTTTGGGAAATATGTCCAGTGTTTCCAGTGAGTATAGCCAATGGGCAAACTGGGTACTGTGGGGGTTTTCCTTGGATTTACAGTTAGAATTAGCTTTCTCCAATTTGGACTGAAGAAAGCAGTGGTAATCCATCATCCAGGACCAACCTGTCCTGTACAGAGGGAAGGATGCTACTGCCCAAAGAGAAGTTCCCCTACTGAAGCCAGCAATATTTGTATAGTAGTAATTTGCTTAGCCAATTTGGTCAATTTCACAAGAAAGCTGGATTGCAAAAGCAGAGATAATTGACTGAAGTTAACTCAGCTTCAAGAATACAAATCATGCTCTGTTCTATTCGGCTCTAACGTATTATTAATGGCTGAAAAAGAAAGACGCCTGGATGGGTGACTGCAACTTTAGACAAAGCCTGGAGATATTGGCCAGTTGTTTAAGGGTGAAGTCCTGACATGGGCTGTTTTTACACAGTACCTCCATGGGAAGTTATACCTTCATCCCATCATGCCAACAAACACAGTTTCATAATCTGGGGATCTGCTAATATTTCTGAATGCTAACAGACTCGTCTTCCTCAAAACGATAAAAGAATAATTCAAACTGGGGTGGGGTGGGGAAAGAGTAAGTATGGGCATTTTAAAGACATTTTTTTTTCAAACAGCAGAAATTTACATGTTGAAATTGTTTACCAATCTATAAATTATACACCATGTTATATCGTACCTCTATTATATGACAGCTGATGCTTTTGGAAGATGCTTGGAGAGAACTGTTTGTTCTAGGAATAGCACAATGGGCCATTCCAGTTGATGCTAACACTCTACTGGCTGTATCGGGTAAGAATTGCACAATTTAATGACTTTGTTATAGAAATTACCATAAAAATACATTATTGAAAACAAGACAACATGTAAAGAATACCAAATCCGTTCCAAACAATAGAGTATACCTGTCATTTATAAATCTATATTTAAATGCAAATAATGTTGTTTTGTTGCATTCATGACTGCTTGCATTGTCATTTAAATGCAAATTACTGTGTTTGTTATCATCCAAGAAAAGATTTTGTACTAACTTTCCGACAATATCGTCAGTTTTGTGTCGAAGCAGATCTGAGAAAGTAACAATAGCATGGCTATTGATACTTCTAAAAAAAATATATTAATCTATCAAAGTACTTAAAATGACTTATTAGTGTATTCATTTCACACATTTTTCCAGGCATGAATGGTGACAACACAGATTCTCAAAAGCTGAATAAGATTATCTCAGAAATACAAGCATTGCAGGAGGTGGTGGCTCGATTTAGACAGCTTCGGTTAGATGCCACAGAATTTGCCTGCCTCAAATGTATTGTCACTTTCAAAGCAGGTAAGAAGAATATAAAAAACGACTTACTAGCATGCATCAAGCCGCTGTGCCCTGTAGCATGGTGACCTCCCTCCAATTTTAAATTGCAGAACATTTTGAATTATCGTGCTGCAAAAGCAAATAGATATTTTTTCCCCAACTTAGGCAGCAAAGAGATTCCAATGTGAAAAATGTGCCCATCTTTGCTAGTTTAGCTTAGTTTAGTTTTACTTTTCGTTTCAACCTGGTTGCTCTTTTACGGAAGTAATTACAGGTATTGAAGAAATTAGCATATTAATATCAGTTCCTGTTTATATTAACAGGAAAGTTATATCCAAGTCAACACCTTGGCATTAAAAGTAATCAAGTAATCCTGTGGAGGGGTACAGCAAGCAATAAAGGAAATGAGAAACTTGCAATCTGTGATGTATTGAAAAATCCTGTTTCTTTACAGCCCATTGATAACCCCATGGCTGCCTGCTTCACATAAGTGTGTGTACACAGATAATGCAGAAACCGCTCAAGCTCAGCTAAAGTCAGAGCTTCAGAATCTCGCAGTATCAAGTTTACCATCTGTTTGGCTGGTGTTTCAAAACTGGAATTTTGCAAACAAGCTGTAGCACTTTCTTAAAGTTACATGAAAATAAATAGAATTGCTTCTTAAAACATTGTTGCTCCCAGTTTTCCAGGCGAGTTGTCCTGCCGGTGCCCTCAAACCTAGATAGCTGGCTCCATTAATTTAGCGCTATTATGAAATTGCTAGCTAATGAAGTGCAGCCATGCTGCCAAGATTGACTTGATTGTCCTGGTAATGTGCGAAGAGCGGTTACCTCACTGACTAAGTGGACTGTCTGCTTGCAGTACCTACACACAGCGGTTCTGAACTGAGAAGTTTCAGGAATGCTGCCGCCATTGCAGCTCTTCAAGATGAAGCTCAGCTCACCCTGAACAGCTACATTCACACGAGGTAAGGATACCCTAGTCCTACCTTTGTAAGAAATAAATGCACCCTGTGTAGGTTGTAGAGGTTGAGGAGCCTTGTAAGAAGGAAAGGGGACTCAAAAGGAAGAAGCACCCTAGGAAAGCAGGTTGCATTGTTTTGGCCCTTAGGAGGCTTCTTAAACGCTTCCAAGTGAACTGCTTCTGCCAATTGGCTTTGATTCGGGAAAGAGACTTTGCTTTAGTTTGATATTTTAATTCCTTAAGGAAGTAAAGCATTTGGATGGCTTTCAGGACTCTAAATTATAATGTATATATTTAAGTTATATTTATGTTGTCTACGGGGGGTGGGGGGAGAGAATTGATATTTACTTAAATATTACCCATCACCACAATATAATCTCAGGAGAGTCACAATATATATAAATTGTTATAATAAAATCTCCTCTCCTCCTAAATGGAGCAATTAATCTTTTTGGCTAAAGCCTTTTTTTGAGCAGCTTGCTCCGATATATAGGCCTACATGCTGACCCTGGATGTAGAAATAACTAATCAAGGGGGAATTATTTCTTTTTCTGTTCAAAAGCACAATAAAGCTGTAAAGTTGGCATGTTGCCTGTTTTTATCAAGAGACAGGATCTATAGCTTTAACGTGGTTATCAATGTTATATGTTGTTAGTAGGATTAACCTCCACGTTTGATTTCTAGGTATCCTACCCAGCCGTGTCGTTTTGGGAAACTGCTGTTGCTCTTGCCAGCTTTACGTTCAATTAGCCCCTCAACGATAGAAGAAGTATTTTTCAAAAAAACAATTGGGAACGTGCCAATTACAAGACTGCTTTCAGATATGTATAAATCCAGTGACATATAGATCAGACACGACGAAGAGAAGCCAGGTGATCATTTCTAAAGGCCTTTTTAACTAATGGGAGAGCAAACATCACATAATTCTACAAGAAATGGAATCCTGGAGACATTTAATCCAACAACAAAATCGATAAGAGATCGTTTTGCAAGTTTGGGAGAAAATACTGTTACATATTAAAGTGGAGCTTGGTTGAACTTGACAGCTGATCCCATCATTGCAGCTTTGATGCTGCCCGTTCCACTGTTGCTCCTAGATCCAGGTTGGGAAAACCACAGTTTAACAGGGACAGATAACAAGCTGAAGCAAAAGAAGCTCTACGGTTTGTTTATTCCATACTCTGAAAAGTTGGGTAACCAAACGTTGTTCTGTTGTAATGTGTCATGAGGTGGCCTTCAACGATTTGTGTATATGTGTGTTTTTTTAACTAGTTTGTTGGTGAACCCTTTTTACATGAAAGGAAACATTGAATACTAGGTTATCCAAACATTTGTGTCAGTTATAACATAATAAAAGTGGCCTTTGCAATGAATTTTTAAGGGGTGTACTCTGGCAAATACCTTTTGAATTCAAATTTGCCAGGCCTGCTATTTAAGGTTTTTTTAAACCAATCGTGGACTTCATGCCTAAATCTTGACATCATTTCATTTCAGTTTAATATGTCAGACAGAAGAGCTTTAAAAAGAGTTTTCCTTTTTTTAGAAAAATACACATGAAGAGACTAAACAGCAAAACCAAATAAAAAAAAAAATAATGGAGAGGACTGACACAGTGAATTCATCGCTGTTCCACTGGCATAAGGCTGAAACCAAAGGCAATGATGCCCAAACTCTTTGTTAATGAGATGTATAAGAAGGGACCCATCTTACAAAAGAATGGAAAATATTATGAATTATTGAAAGAGCAGTTGATCAATACATCAAATGTTAACTATCTTTGAGACGGTCTAGTCTGCCTGATGCTGTCCTGGGAAACATATCATTCCACTTATGGGTCACGTTGGCTAGGACTAGATGTTAAGGTGGGGAAGGCTGTTGTAGATTTTTAAAAAATACATACATATATATATATATATGTATTTATATATATATAAACCTCCAGGTCCATTAAAACCTTTCTCATATGCTTTCTAATCCTCACCACCCCAAGCACATTTATGAGCTGCTTAAGTTGATGAGAGTATTAAAATGTAGGGGGCGGGAAATAACCACTGTACTTTTCAAGGTTTTTGTTTTTAGGAAATAGCACTGAGAAAGGAAAATCAGCACTTGAAATATCTTAGAATGAATAAACTTCTCTTGTACAAAAGTGCATTAACTGATTTGTGAAGTTAAGGTTGTAACCATTGTATTTACAAAGAATAAAAAAAATATATTAAATTTAAACTGGAACTATTCTTAAGAATTGCTTCCCACTGATGCTAAATGCATATTCTTGATATTGTTATATTAATCCAAAAATATGAGATTGGCTCTTTGGTTTCTCAGGTACAACAATTGTCTTTAGCGTACCCCTACCGAAGTTCTGGGAGAGTATGTCATTCAGTACCGTATTTATCCTACTATGCTCAGAACAATCTAACAGGTTTAATATAGCCCAATTCAACATCTTCCGAGGCAGATGAATTGGAGGAGAATGTTTTGTTTTTAAAGAAAGAAACAGGCAATGTTTGTCTGACAACTGAATTACGCTAGCCAACTATATTTTAGCCTGATAAGCTGTACAGGTCGAACTCAGTTTAGTTTATGGATTATATGCCATAGAAACATAGAAAATTGGGCCAATTTAATTATTCATGTTTAAGTTACTCTTGGGTAAGCAAGTGAGCACAGTTAGCAGGACTGAGACTGGATTTTACATCCATGCCTCTTTGCCGTAAAACTGCAACGTTTTGCAAGTAAAAACTAGGAAATTTGCAAACAAGCCAGAATCAGGCTAAATAAAGTAAAGCAGTAAGCAAAATGAACACTGGACAATTGTGTCTCCAAAATCAAATCATTCCAACATTTAAAAAATAAACTATTCGGGGCCAGTATTTGACACTTCAGTAGTAAGCCAATATTTCTGGAAGTTGGTCTATGTGTAATATTGTACATACTTTTAAAAAAATATTTCTTATCTATCCCTACTACAGAGGACCATTTAATATATAGAGTACATTTAATTAAATCCTAGCTGGCAGAAGAAATTATTCTCAGAAATCAGTGTAGTCCCTGAAATGGATCAGGGTTATAAGAGTCCCACAATGGTGAAGCTTTGGTAACCAAATATCCACATTTTCAAAGTGCCCGAGTTTGGTGTGACAGCAAAGCCCAAAGATCAATTGTCAGCATTTTTCAAAATCCCATTTATGGCCCTAGAGCCTCTCCCTGCATTGCTGAGTGTGGCCAAACACATGTCCCTTTTTTGCAGATGTTTAAGGACCCAATTTTACCTCAAAACATTCCTGAAACATTCCCTCCCCCAAGCACCTCTGGCAGCTACAGAATGTGGCCCTTAACACCTTATGCAAAGCCTAGTCTAATTCTTGAACTGTTGGAAAGTGTGCATCCCTGATTTTGCCACAAATTATTAACATCTGTGTTGGAATCAGCAATAGATGGTTCTAATTCTACTAAAAAAACATGATATACTGTTTCTTTTATTGGACCTGATTCTGTCTTTACAGGAAACAGCGTTTGGAATTTCAGATCCTGACATCAATTGGACTTCTTAGAGTTCTAACAAATTAACTTTAGTTTACAGTGAATGTTGCTCTCTTGAATAAACACAAGTAGAACTGCACTCTTGACTCAAAATATAATAAATGGCAGTTTCACCAATAGTATGCTGCTGTTAGAAACCTTACCGAAAGAAATGTAAGCAGGGAATTTCAGAAGTCTGAATATCAATGTAGAACAGCCCATCCTATCCAAGTTAACTTAAGGATCTATTTGATTTTAGATTTGCACCAAAGCGAGAATACCCATGGGATTATAGTTTCTTTTCCACTGAATGAATGTAATATTAAAACAGCTAATATAAACAGATGGAAGATGCATCAAACTTCCAGTATATACAAGGGAACTGACATTTGGGATAATCCAGCCCAATTGCCTCCCCATCATCACAGCAATAAAGGCATACTAAATGTATTTCACTTTTTTATTTCAAAACAACTTTAGACAAATGATCTTAGTATACAAATCTTGATTTCTTTTTACACAATATAAAGATAGTTTCCTCATTGCTTCTCAGTACAAAGGTATTTGTTTTACCACTTAAGGATACAACCTCAGAAGTGCTTATTTTACACAAGGGGATAATGAAACAACGTTAGTCACCAAAATGTAGGTGCAATACTACTTATTTTACAGAAATATTCTAGTGTTTTAATCAAATAAAAGTGAACGTGCAATACCAGAACAGTGCAAGTTCAAGTAAGGCCAAGTCAGTAATCCCCACAAGGTCACTGCAAAGGAAGAAAAGAGGTTCAAAGTATTTAGATTTTTAAAAGCCATTTAATCAAACATCTGACAGCAGATTTACCTAAACTTCTTTAATGCCATAAAATGAATGCAAAGACCAAGCAGTGCCATTAATATACCAAAAATTTCTTGTGCCAATTGGTCTGGAGCATGCTAAAACCTTAACTACAAATCTTGGACCATGTAAGTTAATCACTAACATTTATGCCGGTTAAAGTGTTGTGCAGCATTCAAGCATGTCTTATTTTCGATGGTGTGTAGCTTTTATCTATTATTTCATCTTGCAAGAACATATGAAGACAACGTTCATTCTGGGCCAAAGGATGACCTGCAACTCTGAAAATTAAAAATTAAAAGGTTAGTCTTCAAAGGGGTCCATGTGCCCTGTAATAATAATCCCAACATACTTTTACTTTGTCAGTAATTGGCTTCTAAGCATTTTTTAAAAAGCCTAAAGTTTTGCATTCTCTATCTTAATTAGGTAAGATTTTTACTTGAATTTTACTCCGCTAGTGTGCTAATCTTCGTTTCAAGGCCATTGAGTCAATGCTGTCTGAAGACATTTCTGTTGTCATGTGGCCAGCATGATATCACAGAGTGCTGTTACCTTCCCATCTGCACCTATTTATCTACTTGTATTTGCATGCTTTCAAACTGCTAGGTTGGCAGGAGCTGGAGCAAGGACGGGAACTCACTATGGCTCTCAGGTCTTGAACCTGGGCTGCTGGCTTTCCAGCAGACAAGCCCAGTGTCTTAACGACTGAACCACCATGCCGTCTCCTATCTTTAATTAAGGTGAAATTTCCTGCAAAGTACCAGTGAACAGGCCCATTGATCTATTTGTGATGGGATAAACAGAAAACAGACGCAAGTCCAGTAAAAGTCAATTTAACCCCCTCCCCAAATTCCAGTGTATTTAAAAATACTGATTTTGATGCCGTGCCTTGTTCATAATTCTGCAAAATTGCACTACATTCCCTTGACAGCTTTTAAGCTATTATATCTAATAGAAGTTTGCCTCTTTTGAATTCACATAAGGCACTAAGAATAAATTTCTGAGATGGCAATATCAAATAGGGTGATGTACTATGGGTCAACCGTGGCTTATTTAACCAATATTATTGATTAGGTTTATCAAAGAGAATTCGGCTGCAGCAAGAATGATTTCCTTCAGCAATGAACTGCCAAAGCAAAAATGTTGCTGTTTAATTACAGGCAGTAGGAAAAGGAAGTTCTTGATAAATACACAGCACAAACCATCTCATTTCCAACTTAGAAGGTTTATAGGGATCTTTTCTGAAGGCCAAATTAGCACACATGTATCTTTAATATCATCTAGATTCAAGCATACAAATCTGTACTGGGGATCATACTTGCAGTCAGAAATTATAACCAAATTGTTTGTTCGATGATGAGCACACTTATCTCCCCCAGCCTTATTTGTATGATGCTATCTTTACATACTGCAATCTAAGCAATTTGCATACATTAAGAAACAAAACCCAGGTCACTACAAATTCTTCAATTTTTGCAGCAAGCATGTTAAGTGGCTGCCTACTGTTCAGCTTGGATATTGAAACTGCTTTGCAGTTCAACCTGGAAAGTGGTTCAGAAGTCTTTAATAATGTAAACTGAGCTTTTCTTTATATTAGCACAAGCTTCACTGGTCTTGAAAAGACTTAACAGGTCACTGTTAGATGTCAGTAGGTGTAACATATAATCTACTCAGATGTTAACACCATTGCTAGGAACTCAGTCCGGTGTACCAGCATATTGTTCATTACTGAAGTTTCTGTGCAACACAAGAAATAGAATATCCCACTTACTTGTTTATGAATTGTTCAAGCCCCAGCTTCCTCTCTTCTATAAAGGAATCATCAAATATCCCATCATCTCCTCTGAAAGGCAATTGACGAAGAAAAGCTTTTCCGGGTAGAGGAGGTACAACCACCTAAAAAAGAGTTGGCATTTTCAATTCTAATTCTGTTATGCTAAAAATTAAAGCATCGTCAACATTACCATTACCACCATCATTATCGCTGCTGCACAAAGAGCTCTGAAAATTCTCTAAGCACTGTAGAAAAAATTCAGATTCATTCCCTTCCTTAGGAATGTGGCACCAAGATGATTTGGGGTGAAAATACATAATGTTCCAGGCTTAAACACAGCTGTTAGGAGGCAAAATGGCTTATAGTGTACGTGCTCTAATTATAACAAAACACCAGAATAAGTTGGCAATCCTCCCTGCCATCAAATCATGGAAACTCACAGTGCAAACTTTTGCACTGCTAAATTATCATCAAGCATCAAGAAAACTTTGTTGCCTCACCTTACTTTCTCTTTCTAGCTCACTTCGAAGCCATTCAAAATCACTGTATCGTCTCCTGACGCAAGACTCCTTCAATTTGAAGATCGGAAGATTTGTCTGAAAGAAACAACACCCATCACTCTCCATTCACGTGACTCAGTTAGCCACTTTAAGAAGCATGTGGACTTCAACTTCTAGAATGCTGGCTGGAGAATCCAGTTTGTTGAAGCCCACACTTAGTAAAATTGCCAAGGTTCAGAAATCATTTAGCTGACATCTGAGAGCTTATCAATGTTGAAACAACATATGTTTATACAGATATTACACTTCAAATGGATTCCTCAGGTTAGACGAGCAAACTGAAAGCAATAAATGAATATAGTTGTATGGAATGGAGTTGAGCATCCTTTTAGTGACTGTCCATCAAATATAAAACAGCCCATCTCTCCTAGGCATTCAAAACATTTTGGAGCAAATCCTCCCAAGGAGTTGTGCAACAAATAAGCCTAAAAAGCACAAAGATACCATCACATTTTATACAATGATCCTAATAAACTGTTAGTTTAATTGCAGGACCAAGAAATGAAGGCAAGTATTTAGGATAGGAGTAGCCATTTCAGCTCCTGTTCTCTGTGGTCAGTAAAGTAAATGTTGAATGGTAACAGTTCTCGTGATTCAAGTCTTCCAAGTGTTTAAGACTTTATGCTGCCCACTCTATGTTTATTTGACCCCTTAAGAAGAAAGCATGTCTTCCTAGGATCAGCTGTTCCAAATTTATTTTCCTACTCTCAGAAACTCTGCTTTACCTGGTTCCTGGTTGCTTGCTCTGACATTAACGTTTGACACTATATTCAGGAAAGATATTATTTGCATACTGTTGAAATAACAGCTCAAATATTCAAATAGCTTTCCCATGTGGATATTAAAATATAGAGAGGACAAGATGGATCTTCAAGCACCCTACATAACATTGACTCTAGGGTAGGACAACAGATTGTCAGTACATTGCCCTGAGTCCTTCGGGAGAAGGGCGGTATAGAAATAAAATTATACTTATACTTACTATCTTCTTCTATCAATCCTCTAGGAAGCCATCATGCCTACCAGGCTCCATAGGGATTAAGAATTAATACAGTACTCAAAACTACCCAAGGGTTCAGGAATATTGCCAAAGTTACATTCTCTTAATCCAATTTTATAATATTATGTACAAGATTGTGAAGACTGGTGTTGGACCAGGAGCAGGGAGATGCAAATTCCAGGTCAACTTCAGCCTCGGAAGCTCATTGGGCAACTACAAGTTAATCACTCAGCTCAACCCTTCTCACAAGTGTGTGGGGGGGGGGGATAGGAGGAGGGAGCACTATCTATGTTGTCTTGAGCTCCTGTATAAAACGTAAGATATAAACCTGATAAATAAGCAAATTTGAATATGTATAAATAATTCTTCACATTCCTTTGGCAGAGAGGCCATCATTTCCTTGCATGCTGGGACAAAGATGGCACAAGGATGGACTATCAGCTTCTCTTGTAGTAGAAGCTAATAAGAGTGTTTTATCACATAGGCGATTTTCTCTAGAATGTTAACAGAAAGCTGCATTCAAATCTCTGCTACCGGTGATTTTTGCACCAAAATTACACAGCGTGTTTGGATTTAAAATGAAAAATCCTTTCACGTTACTCAAGAAATCCCAAAAGTAGTTTAAAGATCCATCAATCATACATGTGCCCAATATTAAAGCTGAAAAAGCAGTATTAATATGTACTTACTACCTAGAGCCATGGAAATGTATGAAAATGAATTAAAACCCTATGACTATCATTAAGTGTCATAGTACCTTATGATTCTTGATGAACGTATCTTTTATGTACACTGAGAGCATATGCCAACACAAGACAAATTCCTTGGGTGTCCAATCACACTTGGCCAATAAAAAATTCTATTCTATTCTATTCTAAAATACTTTCTAATTTTCTACCTCCAGCCAAATGTATGGCTAATGAGAAGGTTTATCATAAAAAAGTCTGATAAGTAATGTTTCAGGAGAAAAACCCATGTTATCATATACAGCAACATCTGTATGTACAAGGCATGAAACCCAAGCCAAGTTGGGAAGGCACCTGCATTTTCCCAGCTAAGTACAATATGATTTATTGTACTCATGCTTTACAAGAAATATAACCTTAAGAAGCTCCTTTATACTAGAAGTCATACTTGTTTTTGTGAAACTACTTTCAACCCAGTTAGGAAGCACCACTATACAGTTCCTTTGGAGCTCAAGGGAAAGATTCCCAGAAATTAAAAACAATGGATTACTGAGCTCTGATTTCACCTTTTGGCTTATTAACAGAGTTCAACTCTCCAAAATAAGTCATTGTAAGTGTCTAAAGCCTGTACAGTTTTGTGTTTTCTGCAGGTGAGATTTTACCTTTAACATTCCATTTGCTCGGGTTACCTAATCCTCCTTGTTAACTGCTCTTTTATTCAGCAAGTTAAGTTTAAACCCTGAAAGGAGCACCTCAGAAATTCTTATTTCTTGATGCGGAAGCATATAAAAGTTAATCTCTAAGCAAGATATAAAGGCTTAGTGGTACAGTGCTAAAGAAAAAATGGAATTGGAACTTGCACCTCTCCGTTTTTCTTGAACTCCCAAAACAATCACAATTATTCTCTACTGCATCTTACTTTATTATTTCAAAATAGTTTACTTCTGAAATAGAAGCTGCTTCACATTAGCTGTTTGGAGAGGCAAATATGTGAAAATCTCTGAACTCTAAACATTCACACTCACACACACACACACACAGAGAGAGAGAGAGAGAGAGAGAGAGAGACAGAGACAGAGACAGAGACAGAGACAGAGACAGAGACAGAGACAGAGAGACAGACTTAACATTTTAAATTTACGTCTAGCAGATTGTAAATTCATCCAAACTTATAACTAGTTTATTATAGAACCAGTAGAATTTGTTTTAATTATATTTCTCAATTAGGTCTTCTTTAATTATCTTCGTTTTGCATCTGATTCTGCTTTATTGGAGCCCTCACTCAGTATTATTGGTGAGGAAGGGAACGAAGATGAATTGTATTAATCCAATAATAATTTCATAGCATTTTAAAATCCAGTGTAAAAACCATGGGAAGTGGAAATCTAGAATCGAGTAGTTAAAATAATAAAATTCAGGAGTCTGATAGATAGATATCTTCAAGTATCTGTCAAATGGTGTTGCATGCATGACTGACAAGAACCTTGAAGGGGATATAAATATCTTACTTTACAGGATACAACTAATAGAGAATATGCTCTGTTTGCATGACTAAATTGGAGCCTATGTAACAGGACTTACAGCTTTTTCTGAAGGGGAATACTGCATTTAATTTTTGAGTAACATGCTTAGGACCACAAGATATCAAGTCAATAGAACCAGACAAAGGTTATAATCTGAATACCTACTAATTTATCTTCCACATTTTCCACTTTACAGATAATTCAGTAGCAATTGTGATGACACCTAGGAGTCTTAAGAATTCTGTCTTTTTACAAGACAGAATTCCCCAGAATAATAATAATCAAAATAGCAATAAGATATAGCAGTTCTTGTACTAAGGAACAACCGGTAATTAAATAATAGTGAGGCTAAGAAACAACTATGATATTTTAATACTCTCTTCAAATATTCCTATTTTTTGTTTTTAAAATTTAAAGTAGATTTTAAAATTATAATTGATTTACAAAAATTGAATTTGGCTCAAAAATATTACAGTGGATATTTTAGGAATTGTTTTGATAATAATACACAGCATATACATTTGCTATGTACATATACCTGTACATTTTATTTATGAAGTCACTAGGAGACAACTTATATTCTGAGACTTTATGACCATTTCTATTAGGGATGACCATGTTTATTAGTGTTTATCTCTTTTATTCTCCATAAATAAATGAATAAAGGATTTAGAGGGATGGAATTAGTTTAGATCAACAGTCTGAATATGAATGCAGACAAAATGTGGACAAGAGAACCCTTAAAGGGTGAAATTTGACAGAGACTACACTTTTAAAAAATCCAATATAATTTGGCATAATTCCAAACATCTACATAGGAAAGAGGAAGGAATTATAAAGAACAAGCAAACAGAATACATTTCTGTCTTTTGAGGAATGCATTTCTGGTTCTGAGTATACTTTCAGTTTCATCATCTAATGATAAAAGATGTCAGAAGGATACATTCAAACATGATACTAATTGAACATGAATGTTTTCAGAGGGACTAAAGAACTAGACGAATTGGTGATCATATGACACCATATTGATATCTGCTGCTAAATTAGATTTTAAGAATGTTCTTATCATAATAAGATGCTCCAAAAGAAATCGGAGTACATATAAAATGTCCACTGATTTATAAGAATGGCATTTTTGAATTTGTTATTCCATTGTTTTATAAATAACTATATTTGGCTCCATCACCTTCCTTCAGTTTCCTATAAAAACAGGTTACTGAGAGGTATCTCAATTCTAGATCTTCAGAAAGATACAGAATCTAAACTTCAGATCCAGCAATGGTATCTATCCAGCAACAGGTGTTTAAGACAGATAAAATGCCAACAAACACTCTGTGGATTTGCCTACTATTTTAAAAGTAGTTTAAATCCTTTAACATAACCTTTTTTAAAAAAATGAAAGGGTCAAATGTTTATCTACACCCCAATTTTTTCCATCAGCATTTCTCAAGATTAAATGCCGATACTATGTAAAGTATCACCCAACATACTTCTCCAAATCAGGAGGTAGTTTTTCAAAAGCTGGATTGAATTTTGAAATTCTTTATTCCAGTGACCAATATGAAAAGAAATAAGCCAGAAAATAAGAAAAAATATATAATTATAATTACCTATCAACCAATGCTTCTAACTAGTTTTTGAAAAGGAACCAGTCAGCTGTTATATTATTGTTGCTCCCCTTCATTTTCATGTTGTTGCCAATGGGAATGGATAAGACTGTCTCAGTTACTGGTGCCAAAGCCAAAACAAGCTGCCTTGTGGGCCTATTACTGTGGCCTTGCTACTTTCTTTCAAGAAGTTGACTGAAAGATCTCCTGGAACTGGATA